TTCCTGGATAAGTTATTTCTCTCACTCTCAGCATTCTGTTGTTGCCTTTAGTAATTTTTGTAGTACTGAGACCTCATGGACTTTTCCCCATCCACTTTCACATGTTTGTTATCATTCTGGCTTAGTTCATGTTTAGAAAGTTGTATTGGTGAGACTTTATGAATGACACTTCTGATATTACTGGGAAACATGATATCAAAGTAAACCCCATAATATTCTCGCCCTTATAATCTTTCTTCTCCCTCTGCTGCAATGTTTCATGTGGGAATTTTATTGTAGATGTATCAATTGGGACCTGGATCTACAACTAAATTTTGATTGATTGTAGTTTTCTATAATGATCACCATCTGTTGCAAAGAAAACTTTTCTTTGATGAAGGATGAAAACTAAATAATCCATGGATATAAGGACAAATAATTTGAATGTACTTAGGCATTATGCTAGTTTAATAAATCTGCAGTTGTACGTTGTCCTCCACAGTCTTAGACGTCACTATATTTGGGAAGTTGCCTAGGTTTCCAGTAACAGTCGAAAATTCCCTCTTGGTGAGTGAGTCTTAACTTCAATTAGAGAACTATTGTTTACCACCAAAGTTTGTATGCCACTACTGTACCCTTTGTCTTATTTTGCCATTATGATTACTGTTATAATTAATAGGCATCTCAGCTGGATAGGACTCTTTCTTACTTCCCTGCTTTGGTTGCTTGAATAATGCTTTTGGGTTCCATGAAAGCTAATATGAAGACTGTGAAGTCAGTTCCAACTCAAGAATCTCTGTTCCCTGTGTCTGAAGTTCATGGTATCTTCACAATAGGGAGTAACCTTCCACTTGGGGGGGGACTTCCAAAGGCAATAGCATTAGCTTGCAATATTTCTTGTTCTTGGAGTAAACATATCGTATCAGGTGAGAACATTTCACTTAAACTACATATTTATCTATACACATACTTACATGGATTATAGTTTGCTTTTTTATAGACATTTAACCGTACAATTTGATTCCTAATGAAAGGTTCAGCCCTCTTTATTGTTGTTTTACTCTCCTTTCCACTTCTGTATTTTTCTACTCACCTCACCTCACCTGATCAGGGTACACTATTTTTCCATTTCTCCAATTATATCACCTATAACATGCTATTCCACTCTCTTTTTATTCCCTACCCCACATACCAACAGTTGTTCCTTTTTCCTTTCTTGATTTTTGCAGTTATCCCAGGCTATGTACTCACATCTGAAGATTTGAAGCTAGAGCCTCATATGAGAGAGAACATACAACTTCTGTCCTTCTGGGTTTGGTTTCCTCACTCAAGTGATCTATTCTCTACTTTTAATTTTTTCTTTCCTTATTTAATCTAGATAATATATTTTATCTTTGGGTCCTAACATTCCATCTTCTGCCTGATTCATTCTATTTGCCAAATTTCCCCTGCATTTTCTAATAGGGATATGAAGCTTTTCAATTCAATTTCATCTCTAATTCATCATTGTGTTCCCATTGATGCTTTGATCTTTTTATTGAGTTCAGTTTTATTTTCTAGACAGGGTTTCTTTGTGTAGCTTTGGAGCCTATCCTAGCACTCGCTCTGTGGACCAGGCTGGCCTTGAACTCATGGAGATCAGCCTGCCTCTGCCTCCTGAGTGCTGGGATTAAAGGTGTGCACCACCAACGCCCGGTTGAGTTCAGTTTATAAATTATGATTTATCATCATTATTTCATTTAGGTGTGGGATTGTATTTTCTTGGCCATCACTACCATTCACTATTATGCTACTAAAGTTGAATGAAGTGTTTCTTTATGTCTTCTTTAAATTCCTTGAATTCATTTATAAAGTTTATAATTAATCTTTAAATACTGTGTGTTCCTAGATTTTTTGAGGTAGCTTCCATTAGAGAACACTTGCATAATGGTAGTGGGTTTTCTGAGAGACCTGTTGTTTTGGTCATTCATGGTTTTGTTGGTGTTGCTGCTATTGTTTTTTGTTGTGGTGGCTATAATTTTTTTGTTTTTCCTGATTTGACCTGGGCATGTGGACTTTTTTCTTTGTTTGTGTCTGATATGATAATCTGCCCTTTCTTAGATTTGGGCCAGTTCAAGAAGTGTGTCATCTGAGCTGAGCTATGTTAAGCTTATGGGTGAGCTAAACCAAGCAAGGAAGGTTCACAAATGAAAAAAAATTAAGGGCTCTATGTCTGTACCTAAACTTGTGAGTTCACATGCCAGTGGGTTGGATAAAGCAAAGGTAAAGGAAACAGGAAGAAGCTACTTACCCAGGAAAGGTAACACACACCAAGGAGGGTATGCAGGCCACAGGTTTGGAACTAGACTTGTGAATTTGCACATGGCAGAGACAGAAGAGGAGAAAAGGGGAAAGC